CTCATCTTCTTAAACTTCCCATGCTCCTGTTGGGGGCTAAGAACATGCTTATCTCCCTGAGCACGGCCTTCATCCAACCATTCCTTCACACTTAAGCTGGTACCAGCAAAAAGAGGGAGGAAGGCCAAGTCTGATTCTAGCTTATACCGAGGCCTCTAACAAGACAGAATTTGGGCCAGGGGTCTCTGGTCATTACTCAGCCTGGGTGGGCACCTCTAAAAAAGTGAGTTATTGAACCATCAGGAATGTGCAGATAAAAGACAAGGCTTCATATTATACTACAGCATGGAAGGATGGGTGACACAGTGACCCAGCCAGCTGAAGAACTGAAGCAAGGCCCATCCCGTTGTGAGTTTCTCTTGCATTGTTGCATCACAGCTGTGCAGGGCAGAACACAGTAATCAGAAGACTGGGAAATGTTCTTTTCCTAGCTCTCCCAAGTCATCCCTTCTTTAAAAAAATCCCAACCTTAAAAAAACCCTTCCTTCCCTTGTTAAGTCATTTTGGAAAAGACAATGCAAACTGTTTCAAAAGAGATTGAACCAAGTGGAGGAACTCTACCTAAGTTTTTAAAACGTCTTCAGAGGAGAGATAATTTCAGATGATCTGAACAAAAATATTGCTTGAGGTCGCTGGGGACGTATCAACCCAGGCAATAGGCAGAATTTCTCCTATCACAGGCCTCAATTTGGAAAGTGATTGTACAGAAATCCTGATTTTGGAGGGATTCTGGAGTTTCTCTACCACTATTTTCTTTGCTGAAGAGGTGAACTAATTAAGATTAGCTCTGACCACTCAGGTCCTCCCTCTGGCTGTCTCCTCTCTGACTCCATTGTAGCCATGTCCCCATTTCACTGACTACCACTGGCTCTTGAGAAGCAAAAGAAAAACATGGAATTGCCTTCTGTGGTCAGTGGAAAACAAATCTATCTTGCCACTAGTCCTGATCTTATTCTTGGTGGAACTGCAAGTTCCCACCTCAGAATTAAAGAGCATGACCTTGTTTCTATCTTGATAGCAGTTCTTGATAGGCCTAGACCATGCCCCCTAGCTTTTAGGATTTTAATTTCCTTTGAACAATTTTTCATGGCTTGAGCATTTACAAAGGTCAGAGGGAATAGTGTAAATCATTTCCCTGATTTCCTGGGAAACTGATTTAATTTACTGATTCTGTAAATCAAAGAACCACCAAAGAACTTGATTTTCTAGTACAGTGGATCATTAATAAGTCATGGGAGAACTTCCTA